TGTGATATAGCAAATCAACTGCAGGTACCTAGGCTACAGCTACAATAATTAAGCAACATTTTCTTGAAATTTCTTTTACGTTCCCAGAGCCTATATGTGAAAAAAAATCTTGCTTTTCCATACAAAATATGTCAATGGGGGTTGTACAAGAGTCTTGAGAGCATAATCATAAATAGGTTTGTTCATTACAGTAAAAGCCTAAAACTGGAATTAAAACCCTAAAATTGCTTATCCAATAACATTTACACATTGGGAATAATTTGGATCATTCTTACCATTAAGAGTAAAGACACAAGAATTCAAAAAAAGACTCAAAATACAAACTTTAAAAATAAAATTCAGCACCAATGTGAAAACACAGTAGAAATACAAAGTACTGTCAACCTCACTGACCATTCTCTTGAGGCTGTCATGCTTCAGAATGTGTCTGAAAATGATAGAAAATGGTGCCATGTTTATAATTTAGCTTAATGTTTCTAAAGCACATTCTCTTATAACTCAGGATAAAATGAACTGAACTTTTGAATTGTCTGTAGAATATTATAGCACATTGACGTTTCTATTAAAAATGGTGATAATTTCCTGTTGCTTATGTCCTGTTTGCTTAACAGAATGACAGATCAAAACAAAGACCTCTTTGTTTGGATGGTATTGAGACCTCTTTGGTTGGTTTGAGAGGGTATTCAATAAATGTTTGCTAAATTCAATTTCTTTCCTCCCTACTAAAAGGGTCTTAAAAAGAGGGCAATAGTATCCAGCATACTCAAGGCTATTTAAAAACATGCCTTCTGACTTGTCATGCCCTTAATCTGTACTTGTTACCCATGCAAATCATTACATTCAGAAGTAGGACAGTAAATATTGTCGTGTTATAAAATCCCTTAAATAAAACTATCCAGCTTAAATTGAAAAGCCTGTTGAGAATGCCTTATCTTTTGAGCCAGAGACCTACACTGCCAACAAATTCCTTTCAGAGGCAGGATGCAATGAAAGAAGCTGTAGCTTAGGATCTCAAAGTACTAGGTTCAAATCTCTCCTGAGCACTTACTAGTTTAAGTACCTTAGATCAGTCACTTAACTTCTCTCAGCTAAAGTCTCTATCTGCTTTAAAAAGAGGGGAGACGTCCTACTATAGTGTAAGGCTCAAGCAGAATCATGATGTGGAAGTTCCCTGTAAACACTAAACCCCTGACCATAAACATGGAGAACAGTCTCACTTTTCAGAACAAAATTAAGTCCCGGGTATATGTTATTGTCTGTATCCCTAGTGGATGTCTTTATCTCTGAAAGGTATGGGGCCCTTTCCGAGACTTCAAAGGCTGGGATTTCCTCCTGCAGCAAGTACCTCAAGAGCCCACTGACCTCACACAGCTTCATTGAGTTGTAGCCCACTTACCAACATACAGAAGGAAATTTTGTGAATAATAGTTCCTTCAGATCTGGTTTCATGGACCTACTCCCTCCCGACCTTCAGATGCCTCCGCCCGACAGGATCATTATAAGTTCAATTTCTTTTAAGGACTCAGGGGGCTTTTTTTTCCTACGTGGGGAAAATCAAGCAAAAGGAAATGAGATAAAGCAGGAAATATGCATTACTCGTTTAATTAGAAAAAACAAATATAACATTATGAAACTAAAATACAAGCTCTTATGATTGGTCATGAGGAAATGTTTTCATGGTCTACTAAGTGGGAACTAGGAAAAATAAGCAACAAATGCCCTGAATTATTAAAAAAATATATCTAATGGCAGAATAAACAAGATGACCTTCTGAGGCAGCTTCCGTTTCTAAGATCCCAAACTAATACATATGTACGCAAACCTTTGCAGCAGTTCTATTTTAGGAGTTTTAATTACAAACATGGTCTCATTTGTTTTTCGTTTTCACTGCTGCTGCTGTTGGAGGATGTGCAGAATATTTTCTTGGTCTTTAGGTTCTATATTTGGTAGTTTGGGTACAATTAATGTGGGAAAAAAGCAAGTATTTCACAAAAATAATTGGGTTTTTCTCACCTAACGCACTTTAGGACAGGAAGCTTCTTGGAAAGGTAACAAAAAAAAATGGAAGGATACAGGGCTTTCCAAGCATTCATGGCAACAGAAAAGAAAGCAGAAAATCTCTATAAGGGAAAGAGACTACCCGGGTGGGAACGCGGGCTAAAGGGTTCAGCAGCGAACGGCCCCTCGTAATACTGGAGAAATAGGGCAGGAGAGCCAAGTGCCTTTCAAGGAGGAGTTCCGGTGCCGCGGGAAGAAGCGCTGGCGACCTGCGAGGCCGGCTTCCGCATCCGTACGAGCACAGCATTAAGACTGCTCTGGAGGTCCACGCGGTGTACCATGAGTGAGAATCCACTCCCCCTCTGCCCCACCGCCAGGCCGGTGGGGGGCCAGGAAGGGTGGTTCCCTCCCTTCCCTCCAAAGGCAGTCACAGAATATCACGATGGAAGGGAAGCCCGGATAGCATCCAGTCCTAAGTGAATGAATCAAATAATTCAAAAATGTTGGAACCTGTACAGAATTCCTACATTATAAAAAATGTAACAGACAGTGAGATATTACTACCAATCTCAAAAACCTTACCCCTGTCAAACAAAGATAAATAGCTGCAGTGGAAAAACTCCTTAACACTGCCACAACAGGGGACTCCTTCCCTCACCAACATGCAAGCAGGTTCTCCAAACTGGCGGAAAGTAGGTATGTATTCCCCTCCTTGCTGTAAGGACTATGGCTTGGCAAGCAGGGATAGAAAGCTGTGTTCCAAGTTGGTCATAAAAATCAGACCTGAAATACTAACCATTTTCTCATAGTAATGATAATAATGGTTACATTTCCAAGCTAGCAATCAAATAATGCAGCTAACATACCATTTTTAATTGACTTTTTCTCATTCTAAGTGTAATTTTAAGCTACTTTATAGAATGAACTGGATTTTATGAAAAAGCCCAGGAGTGCAGCCCTAAACATGCTTATGGAAAAAGGTGTATCTTGAGGTTTGAAGAATTTATACAGGACCTTGAAGATCATAAATGAGGAAGAGACAGAAGAAAGCTATGACAGAAGTAGGAAGGGAGCGGACATCTCAGTTACACTGAGTCACAGTTGTCAATGTCTTCAGAACTGTCTCTCTCATTTAACAAGCATTCAAGTCCTGCTCCAAGTCCAATGCTGTGCCCCTCCACAGGAAATGATTCTTCAAAAGCTAAACCCATAGTCCTAGAAATGCAAGCATTTCCTTCCACCTTCTGAGTTAATCACACACCAAATTCTAGCGCTCTGAGACTTGCATAAGCCTGTCTTGATTACCTTGCACAACCTCTCTCTCAGAACTAACACCTGACGAAGTATCTGATGTTATTATTACTCTTACTACTAAGAGGAGAAAAAAATAAGTTAACATTTATTAAGCACTTGGCATACTTGCCTTTGATTTTTACAATCCTGTAGGTAAATATTACCCCCAATTTACACATTAAGAAAATAATGTTAAATAACTAGTCCGCAACACCAGTAAAGACAAGCCGGGAGTCAGAATTCGGCAAATTCCACTGCTCAAGGGTTCCTCCCCAGCAGGAAATAAATTATCACTTAGGTGTCACTAGACAACTTACCACTTTCACATCAATTATTTGTTATTCTAGTTAAGCAATTCTGAGAGCAAGTTATGAAAAGATAAATCATCAACGCTTGGTTCCACAGAATCCACTTACAAAGTATTTAGGGAATGCTCCAAGAGAAAAGGTGAAAGGTCCCCGGAGGGGGACCCCGGCTCTTCGCATCATTACTCATTTCCTTCTCAACAGAGGCCAGCGCAGAGCTCCTCTTAGCACGTCCATGTTACCACGCCGTCACAACACGGCTAAGTGAAACTTCTGAAAGCGATCTCTCAGAACAAGATTTTCTACCAAAATAGAAGATCTCTCTGCATGTCCTTCAATTTAAATAAATTCAGTTTTCACATAGTAACTTGCCTGATGGCTTTCCTAAACGTTTCTCACTTCTGCCAGTTTAAAAAGTTATTTTGCAGTGAACTGTCAACTATATCTCAATTGAACTACAGCAAAAGAATTAGGAAACAAAAATCTATGTTTAGACAGCTTCTCCATCTACAGTTTTTCGTCACAAACTTACGGAAAAACAAAACAAAACAAAAAAAAACCTGTACATTCAACATTTAAAATCTGTTTTTAACTGAAGAAGGTAAGTGACTTAGAATAATGCGATGTGGAATGGAATGCCACCATTCTGTAATGGAATTGCCACCAAACACTAGCATTATCATATAAAAGCAAAACTAGCATTCAGTCCCTTCTCTGAATATTCTTTCTAAAGAAGTTGAATGTTCTAAGAATTATTTAGCTTCTGGAGTTTAACATTTGTAACAGATAAAAAGAGGATCCTAAGAAGAATAAATAGTCTCCTCTGTAAACAGGTTGGTTAGTTGGTTTTAAACAAAACCGTGACTGTAATACACACTCAACATTGGGACACATCCGAAAACCCATCCCACTTGTAAGGTAATTATTTCTAATACCGAAGACAACAGATTAAAACGGATCAAACATTTGCAGTCAAATGTCTGCACATCTTTGAACTGGAAAAACGATGTCAACGATTTTCAGCCTTTTATCTGTAAGGCTCCAGTCCAAAAATAAAGAGTCACCGGGCTTCTCAACTCAGTGCGCAAAGTCATCGAACCGGGGCTGGGAACGGACACAACACATTCCCAAATACCCGGCGCCCAGGCCAGCCCGCCCCGCGCCGCGCGCGCGAGCTGGGACCGCCCGGCCCCCCGCGCAGCACCTGCCGAGGCCGCGCGCCAGCGCCCCCTGCCGCCCCCGGCCCGCGCCCACGCCGCCCGCCCCCGCCCGCGCTCGCACCCCGCGCCGAGGCCGCGCAGCCTGCGGGCAGGGCCGCGGGCGGGGGCGCGCGGCGAGGCGGGGCGGCCTCGGGCCCGGGCGGCGGCGCGCCCCCGGCCCCCGCCCAGGCCGAGCCCCACCTACCTACGCCGTACTTCTCCTCCTCCGTGGGGGTCCACATGGCCGGGCCGGACGCGGCCCTGCGGGCGCGGCGGCCGGGCGACAGCGCGGCGGCGACGGCCGCGGGCCCGGCTGTGGCGCACCGCGAGCCGAGGCGGGGGCGGTCAGGCGGCGCGGGGCGGGCGGCGCATCCCTCGCAGGCGGTCGGGGAGGCCGCCGCCGCCACGTCCGAGCGCGAGGCTGCGCGGACAGCCAGCGGCCCGGGGACGCGGGCGGGGTCCGCCACCTGTCCGTCGCCGCCGCTCCCGCGCCGCCTCGCTCCCTCAGACTCGGCTCCGGCGCCGCCGCGGCTCGGCTCCTCAGCGGGCTCGCGGGACGCCCGCGCATGCGCACTCGGCCGCCGCCCGCGCTCGCGCGCGAGCCCACGCGCCGCCCGCCGCCCGCGAGAGGCGATTGGACGGCGCGCGCGGCGCCGGGTCCGCGGCGGGCGCGGGGGGAGCGCGGGGCCCCGCTCGGGGCGGCGGGGGTCCGCGGCCCGCCCGGCGCGCATCCTCGCGCCCAGCCCGCCGCCCCGGGGCGCTCCAGCCGCAGCCGCGACGCCGCCGCGGGTCCTTGGGCGGCCGAGTGGGCCGCGCGGCCGGTGGCGCCTGCACGACCACGGCGGCCTTCCCGGGAGGAAAGCTCTTCCTCCCCCGGGCCGGGGTCCCGCCCTCGGCGCTGCCTCTGCCCCCAGGTCCCTGCCTTCCCGGCCCTGCCCAGAGACTTCGCTGCTTTGTCTCCCGCGCCCGAGAATCTGTTCACACTTACGCCTGCAAATGTCACCTTGCGATGCTGGGTCAACGACTCATCAAAGACCAGGCTCGTTCCGGCAACCGCAGGCGGCCTCCCACCCACATCGGGGCCACATGGTGTCCGGCCCTTGTCCCAGCAGGCCACCATCTCTGTCGCCGGCACTACCACGCCAAAGCCCTGGTGTCACGCCTCCTGTCACTTCTGGGCCCCGCTCAGCGCGTCACTCCAGGACACCTTCCCTCATCGTGGGTCCTTCCCTCTCTGCCTGGGACGCCAGCTGTGTGTGTCGGTGTCTCATTTCTCCCATAAGAATGTCAGTTCCCGAAAGACGGGCTCCAGGCTAAAGTCGCCTTTCTGTCGCTCAGCACCCAGCCCAGCACCTGATGTGCACCTGCTGAGTAGGAAGCAAGGCTAATACAGGGGTGTCTTGGTCACCAAGAGATCTTGTCCATTCTTCCTGCACAGTGACCTTTGCCGCCCGTTACTACTGCTGCGGACTCCCACCCCTGACCCACAGACTCCTCGTCCCCCCAGTGAAGGCTTCCCACTCCTGCCCTGGGAAAACGTTCTGTAAATGATGGAGTTTCTCAATAGCTAGACGCTTTTTTTTTCAGTCCAAGGACATAATAACAATATTTATGTAAGAATATCCTCAGTTATGGAGCTAACTGTTCCAGGAAGACGCTTCCCAAGGGCCACCACGGAAGGAAGCCACATAACCGCGCCTTCTTCAGGGAGCTGTCCAGCAAGCGGGGCTGAACGATCCTAAAGCTCTTACGTCACCCTGCAGTGCCGCTCCATTGACTGTGTGTGACGCATTCTCAGAGCTTCAGGACAGGTTTCCAAAAGTTTGCTCTTGTCCCCAGTCTGGGTCCATCTTAGGCGACAGCCTCCCCATACGAAGAAGGTCCCAGTTCATGACTGCAAACCTCAACTCAGGGTTGGAAGGGTTTTAATCCCAACCAACAAAGGGAAAAGAAAGAAGACCAAGGTGAGAAGGAAGGCACCTGACAGGACCCAGCCTCCTACAGTCTTGTGTGTACTAAATTTAGACTATTTTCTTGAGTTGAAGCAAAAGGACAGAGCGGACATGGCGGGTAATCAGCCTTCACAGGCCTGTGCACCTGCTCGCCTACACCCACCGCGTCTGCTCTGCCCCCACACGTGCACACTCCTCCAAGCACAGGGGCTGCCCTGCAGCTTGCCTCTGAAAGTCAGGACCCTCAGCACTCCTCCCCCCGCTACTCTCCACCCAATCGCCCAATCGTCCTGACACCCCACCACCACCACCCAGGTCCACCGCCTGCTCCACCCCAGGATCCCCAGGAGCCTGTCCCTGTTCTGCTCCACCGGCTCCTTGCATGGTCCCAGGAGCACCTGCCCTGTTGGGACCCTCATGCCCATTCCCTCCTCCTCCTCCGCTCTCTGGCTTCGAAAGAGAATCATCCACTCCAGATCCCTTTATATGCCATTCATTTACTCTCAGTCCCAAAGGTCTGGTTTCTGACCCTATCACTTCCAGAAAGTGCTCTCCCAGAAGTCCTCGGGGCCATCCCAACTCCAGAGACAAGCGGCTGCCACCCCCTGGCTCTGGCTGGGCCTTCATATACGTGTCCCCTCTTGACGCGCATGGATCCCCGTCACCCTCCAGGGACCACTTTCCCCAGGAAAGCTTCCCAACTGCCCTTGGCTGAAGGGACTTGCTCTCCCATGGGGACCTTTCCTGTAGCACCTACTCTACTCATCCCTCCCTCCTCCAAGAGAACAACTGTGTCAGCCTTGCACATTGACAAACATCTGTTTCCTCTACAGTAACAAAGACCGCTCTTCATTTATTTTGACCCCACACAGAGACCAACATAATGCCTACCACCTAACAGGAATTCTTGGATGAATGATCTACCTATGTTTCCTGAGACTAGAATGAGGTAGGTTGGAAAAGAGAACTGAGAAATTTATTTCGACAAGTCGTGAATCTCCAGATGCAAAAACTTGAGTTAATTAGGGTAAATCACCTTGATAAAGGCAAGTTGGCTTTAATTAAAATTTCATTGAGACATCTTATTGAGTAGCTATATAAAAGATAAACATGGGGGAGCAATTTACCTAAGAAACAAAAAAGACTGCAAACAGTTTGACTTAACATGTCACTAGTACTCATTTGGGTTGAACTCATTTCCTTGGATGACAAATTGCAACTTGATGAGAAAGGAAGGAATCAAGTTTCAGCAGGAAATTCTTTTAAGATCCGTGGCTATTTAAAATAGCCCATTACCAAACAGATTTTGTACATAATGCACGAGAAATGCAGATGGCATCATCTCTTTCTCTAAACTGAAGTTAATCAACAATTTTTTAACCTAAGCAGACTCCATAATGACAAATCCCCCATCACCTTTTGGGGAACGAGACTGGCCCTCTACAAAGCTCCGTGAGCTATACTTTGTCTTCTCTCCTTGTTTGCTGCTGCCTGGAGAGTCGGATAGCGGCATTTAAGGAGCCAGCCAGTCTGATGACTCAGCTCATAAAACAATGTGTGGCCGCAAAGATGATGTTTATCCAGGAGCACCCTGGCGGCTCTTGCTACTGAAGTCAGCAAGCAGTAGGCAAGTGGCCCGCATTCTCCCAAGATGCTCTGGCCGTGATGCCAGAGCAGCGCTGACTTCCTCTCCCAGCAGGTGATCCCATCTGATGCTCTGTCCCAGCAGAATGGCGGGGAAGCTTCAGAGAAGCGCAGTAAGTATAGGGGCACATCCGAGCAAAATGCAGGTGGTGGTGGTGACACTCTGCCTCCTCCTGAGCAGGAGGTGCCTGCAGCCAGGGCTTATGCCCGTAGGCAGCCCAGGGCCAGGTGGGTAGAAGGCTCCGGAGCACGTGCAACCCAACTTGGCTCTGTCCTGCTGGGTTCCTCTAGGTGTGGGTGTGCTTTAGTCAATAAAGCATCTACAGAGCTAGTTTTCTTCATGGCAGAGGGACACCCACACTAGCCTCACTTCACCACCATCCCTTATGTTCCCCCAAAGCAGCACCTTTTAGGAAACCTCCTCTCAGGAGGCAGCATTGGAATAAAGGGCTAACAGAAGAGGTTAACACGAAAACAGCTGACAAAGTCAGGGTCCTTTCAGGGGAAGAGACCTAAGTGACTAAGAGGATATTATTAGTATTTTGCTTTAAATTTTGTTGCATCTGAATATCTTTGTGGTGGGGAGAGGACAGGGAAGAGTGTGAAAAAGAGACAGATTAAGCAGTGCAATATTTCATTACTTTCCCTAAAATGACAAACTTTAACCATCTGTTCATATTTTATCAACCCATTCAAAATGTTATTAAAATGCAGATTCTGTGCAGTTAGCCAGGGTCTTTCAAATGAGAAACGCCCAAAGCTTCCGTGGTTTCAAGCGCTGGGGACCGATGTGGCACCTGGGGTGGATCCCACCTGAGAATCACCTCCAGACAGGTCATGAACTTCTCAGCACTTCCTTCCTGTCCACTCAGGACTGTGAGCCACCTGGAGACGGGCGCCACGGGGCCTGATTTCTGGCGTCCTTAGTGCCTGGCACACAGGTTCTGACACATAGTAGGTAAATATTGCCTGACTGAATACATCAGGGCATGAGTGCTTTTGTTTTCTTTCCAGGAATTTGTACCTTTGTCTCTATACGGTTTGTATTTGTTGTTTGTTTGTTTGTGGCCAGGAAAATGGGAGGGGATAGTATCAGAAGCAAGATGCCCCCAGAAGGAAGGGCACGTAGTTGGCAGCTGGGCATGACCTAGCTCTCCTTTCTCTGTGGGGGAAATAACTATGCCCTTGAATTTCTGCTCTAAGTCACCGAGGAGGAATTAAAATTAAAAACCTTGGAGAGTAATTACCAACAAAACGTTCTAATGTCAAGAAGTGAATTTTATGGGACCATATTTGTAATATTAATTGGGCCTCTGTGTAGCCAAATGGTGAAATTATTGCTCCAATACAAACAGGCCCAAAAGAAAAAACAGCCCAAAATAGCACAGACATTGCAAATCAGGACAGAGGTAAACAAGTTGGCTTTAATTAAAATTTCATTGAGACATCTTATTGAGTAGCTATATAAAAGATAAACATGGGGGAGCAATTTACCTAAGAAACAAAAAAGACTGCAAACAGTTTGACTTAACATGTCACTAGTACTCATTTGGGTTGAACTCATTTCCTTGGATGACAAATTGCAACTTGATGAGAAAGGAAGGAATCAAGTTTCAGCAGGAAATTCTTTTAAGATCCGTGGCTATTTAAAATAGCCCATTACCAAACAGATTTTGTACATAATGCACGAGAAATGCAGATGGCATCATCTCTTTCTCTAAACTGAAGTTAATCAACAATTTTTTAACCTAAGCAGACTCCATAATGACAAATCCCCCATCACCTTTTGGGGAACGAGACTGGCCCTCTACAAAGCTCCGTGAGCTATACTTTGTCTTCTCTCCTTGTTTGCTGCTGCCTGGAGAGTCGGATAGCGGCATTTAAGGAGCCAGCCAGTCTGATGACTCAGCTCATAAAACAATGTGTGGCCGCAAAGATGATGTTTATCCAGGAGCACCCTGGCGGCTCTTGCTACTGAAGTCAGCAAGCAGTAGGCAAGTGGCCCGCATTCTCCCAAGATGCTCTGGCCGTGATGCCAGAGCAGCGCTGACTTCCTCTCCCAGCAGGTGATCCCATCTGATGCTCTGTCCCAGCAGAATGGCGGGGAAGCTTCAGAGAAGCGCAGTAAGTATAGG